TTTGGCAGCTCCTCACAGCGTCTCCTTCCTTCCTGCAGCTACATCTGGCACCATATTGATGTGGGGTACGTTCAGGGGATGTGTGACTTGCTGGCCCCGCTGCTTGTCATCCTGGACGAGGGTGAGTTGGGTTGCGCCTCTTGCTGGGTTCCCTCGGTGGCGGCGGTTGCAGAGATCCACCTGCAGTGAACAGCGATCCATTTGGGGTTAGAGGGGCTCTGGTAATCAGCCTGGGGACTTTCCTTAGGCAGCAGCATATCGAGTAGGAGAAATGACTGAAAAGGAATGAATTTGGGGTCCTTTGGTCTGGGCAGGATAAGAAAAGGAGCGTTCAGCAGGCTCTTAATCTGGCATCAGGGGAAAGCGAGAGCTCTCTGGCGCCCCGTGTGGGTGGAGCTGGTGCTGGCGCTGGGGGCTCTCTGCCAGCTGAGGAAAGCTGAGGGGTGGGAGGAAGACCCTGGAGTTCTCCTTTCTGCTCCTTTCCCAGAAGCTCTCGCTTTCAGCTGCTTCACGGAGCTCATGAAGAGGATGAGTCAGAATTTCCCCCACGGAGGAGCCATGGATACCCACTTTGCCAACATGCGGTCCCTCATCCAGGTATGGAAGAAGAAGTGGACAGGCCCCTGCAGCCTGCCTGGTCTGGCTTTAAGAAGCAGGGTGCTGTACGCCTGAAACAGGCAGGCATTCATCAGGAACAGCCTTCCTTCTTAGCCGCCAGAGGAGGGGGAGAGAGGGGCTTCGGTCTGCTGGACGTCCCGGCGGAGAGTCTGGTGGGAGAGGGCTTAAGGGGAGCGTCTTGGACAGAGCGGGGAGGAGGGTGCCGTGGGCTTTGCTGCCCTCTCCCCGCAGACCCTGAGAGAGGGATGCGCTTTTCCGGCAGATTTTAGACTCGGAGCTCTTTGAACTGATGCACCAAAACGGTGATTACACCCATTTCTACTTCTGCTATCGCTGGTTCCTCTTGGATTTCAAGCGAGGTGAGCGCCGCCCGGGGCCACGCAGCACACCAGGAGTTGGGACGAAGATCCGCTGGGGCCGGCTCAAGAGAGAACGCTGGGAGTGGGCCGGGTTGGGGACCAGGCGTCCTCGCAGTGGCAGGGCCCAGGCTGCCACGTTCAGCTGTGAGGTCATTGACTCGGCACAGCTTATCCCGTGTGCGCAGCGTTGCAACTTGTCCCCGACGGTGG